ATGTTAGTCTACTCTCTTTTTGAATTATACGTTCTAGGCAAAGACTCAAGTCAGTACTGCTTTTCGGCTTAGATCACAAGATTTGAAACATGGTTCACACTTGAAGCTTGTAACAATTTGAATGCTTTTTTTTCAATAATCCACTGTAATATAATAACACTTGTTTTAATCAAAAACACTAACCATCTAAGTGTTCAAGCACACACTTTTCAGTCGTGTGTCTCTTAAAAATGTAACTTATGTTATATGGCCATTGAGAATAAAGTAACTGAATCAAGGTTTATAACATTGAGACTACCCATTCTCAGAATATTTTAAGTATTCATTGATTGGGTTTAAAGAACAATTTGACAAGTTCGATGGTTTATTGTTTAGACTAGTCAACTAATGATGCGGAAATCGATTATTCTAACATAAAGATTGTATTAGTGAGTTTTCTCATTTATGGGTTAGTCACAACTATTATTATTATAGGAGATTTGTGAAGGTGGTTGAATTTCATAGTTTACATCACAATTTGATCTTAGACAACTAATAAAAATCAGGAAGCACTGGATAGCTGTGTTATCATAGCTTGACATTCCTCAGCAGTACTCTCTACAATCTGACCAGTAATCGAAATCATGACCTCTACAAACATATTAAAATATGACAACAATCTAAGTCAATTTGCATTATTTTATTTTAACTAAACACAGCAGAAGCTAATTGAGAAGATGGAAATCAAAATAGTCTCATAATGGACAGAAAAAACTGAGATTATTTGAAAATTTGAATAACATAATAAGCGGGTGCATCTTTGTGTAGCCAAGTCACCTAAGGTTTCCACATTATGGTATTCGGAAGCTCCCAGCCTATACATCAGTGTGATATATAGCATAGTGCTTTAGCATAGGTGGTAATTGAGCATATGCAAATTATGTTTTAAGATGAAACTTCAGTGGGGTCGGGAATACTGACTCCTAGGAATCTGCTAGTGAAACAAAACAGCTGTCCAGTTCTCCGTGGTTATTGTACAAAATAAGATAGTAACGTTTTAAAAGAAATCACATTTGTTGTTTCAATAAGGCACCATTGATTTCCTCAGTTTTAACAAGCTTTTTAATATGAAAATAGTACTAACTAATTGTGATTTCCCATTCGTTTGTGAGAAACCAATTTTAGTTCAATTACAATCACTTAATCTGATTAACTGATGTAATTACTTCTAATATAGCGAGCTATTGAATGTACCTGGAAGTCAAAATAGAATTGAACTTAAGATATATGATGGTGTGAAGCTCACAGATACACAAGTTAGTGTAAAATTACCAAAGTTTTACTGTATGAACGTATCCATAGACGTAAATATTGTTTCATGGTTAACGTCATGGACTAATCTCAGTTGAAAAACCAATGAAAAAACGAGGTGATGTTTAGTTTTAGTACAGGACTCCTCAGTTCCTCCTCAGAGACCTCCACCTTTGCACCTAGCGCTTAAACTTCAGATCACTGAGTTAGCATTTGATTCTTAACGTTATTATCTTCGATTAAACCAGGATATTGCGAAACCAATTTCTAATATCACTAGTAGATAACTGTTACATTCCCGGAATGCTTTGGCTTCACCAGTCATGGCCTCTCATTAAATGTCATTCATATAACCTCTTCGAAATTAGTCATTAATAAGTACATGATTATTGAAACTAAACAGAAATGGTAGAGGTTGTTAAATCACTTAGTGTACATCAGTAGAACCTTCTCTAGGATGAAACAAACATCTATTACATCCTAGTTTTTAGTAGCTGTCTAACTAACATCTATTCGTAGTGTCAGTTATAAAATTCAATAGCCGTCTTAAACGAAAATTCTATTCAACTGATAGAGAACGTTTGTAAAGTTTATATTAGTAGTGTATGCCAAAAAAGCATAAAATGAAAGATTTTTCGAGATCATTTTGAAACTTTGAGAATGAATTGGTAATATGCAAATGAAAAACTGGTTATTTGCATAATTTTATTAGGAATTACATTTGTCGAATTGGTAATCCTGACAACCTTATAATGATTTCATGATTGTTTGCTTTTTATTACAGATTTTTCATACTTTTTTATTTTACGAACTGTTCTTATCTAGACAACCATAGAAAACCTGAAAATACTGGACGGCCATTTCGTCCTAGAGTGCAGATCCACGAACTCACAACCAGAAATCAAACCCAGGATATTCGGTCTCGCGTATGATCTCTTAACCTCTATACCACCTAATGGTCATCCAACGCCGTTAATGTCTCATTTGAATGAATTAACGATATCCCACAGCTCTTATCCGTTACATGTAATGGCTAACTGTTTAATATTGATTTATTTAGGTGGAAATAATATATTAAACTCGACATCAGAAATAATCTCTCAGCAATGAAAAATATCCACAATATCAATAAACTTCTTTAAAACATCCAATACTAATACTAATTACTACATTACTCACGTATAATTATTTATTTAAGCTATAGTACCGGTAATACATCTGATTTGTGAACAGTTATAACCTAACTTACTGGTTTACCTGAAACACTTCACGCAACACATCAGAAAGTTTTAAAATGACAATCTCTGATATAATTATAGGCGGAGTGCAATTGAAGACGATCATTAGCTGACAATACACTTACTCTTCTGCTCTGAATGATTATTTAGAAAATATCAGTGAGTGATTTAAATTGTCTACGCAAATTTAAATCACTTCATGAAACCACATATCTAATATTACAATTATTGTTCATAATAATACATTTTGTATCAAGTTAGTTAACTTTGTGGATTGACAGAAGGTGACTAGAATAAAATTTGAAAAAAATATATTTACTTACATAAAAGTACATGGTAGTTGTTATGGTTTTTCTCCCTTTACTCTTTCTCTCTCCTCCTACTCTCTCTCTCTTTACCTCTATTTCATCATTTTTACTGAATTCAATCAATATTAATGGTAGTAATAAGGACAGTAAAAATGATTAATAATCATCCACAATGGGAATGATAATCACAATTGTCGAAATACACTATCACGTTTTGCAAGGTGAAGTTTGTAAAGAAAAATTGTCACAAACTGATTTCAGTTGATATACCTTTGAAACTAATAAATTACTGAATAGCTGCTATCTTGTTCTAATAACAGACTCTTCATCAATGTACAATCAATATCTTGCCAAAGATTGAATATTCAGTCAGTCAGTCAGTCAGTCAGTCAGCTACAACGTAGGACCAGGTATATATGTGCATCGGTTCAAGTTGCTAAACCTCATTATTCTTTTTTTAGTAAAACATAAGTATCAGCTAACGAGAGCGTTAATTATCTACCAGATCTTAGTTTGGATAAGTGTACTCTATAAAAGGTTGCTTAAGTAACTTAATACTTGATACAATATCACTTGACTGAATGGTATACATTTTCAATTTCCTGATCAGTTTACAATATTTTTAGAATAAAACAAAGAAGTATAGATAATTCAATGAGATAATCTCATTCATTCATGTTTTTCCCTATTATGCTACTAAATATAATTAAAAATTGAACTAATCAAGGTAATTTATAAGTAGTTAATGAAAGTGTTATGCCTTTTCATTTCGACTGGTAAAAATAACACAACAACTATTTTTTAATGATCACTATTATTACCATGACGATTAATGTTGCTTAGCTAATTGTCATACTGTTTAATTTTCATGTATAACTTAATATGTTTATTTATGTGATTTACACTGACTTAACAAATAGATTGATACGGCAACTTTTTGTAACTATCGAAAAGCTGCTACTTGCTACTTGCCTTAACAGAAATACACAATTGATCATTATTACTCGATTATAATAAGACAGCTGAACTAAATTTCTGTTTCTTCCTGTTAGTGAATATTTTAGATTAATTCCATGTTCTATCTGTACATTTATACATTTATATAGTAACCACCGTTGTATATTAGAAAACTGAATAGGAACTAGTTGAAGACTATATTGTACAGTCCTATACATATAATCTAATTTGTGGTAGTATCACCAAAAAGTTGATTTCCTACTGTTAACATAATTCAGTTAGTTATTTAGTTAGTCGTAAGCACCGTAGCATCTAACACATATATGTTTCAGTTCAAGTTGCCATTCCATATCATTGCACAGAAATAAAATATCATGATAGATGTCAGAGTAATGGGACTAATAATAGGAACAATTCTCGTAGAAAAAATCAGATAAACAAGATCATTCGAGAAGAAGGAATTAATTCCTGGAATAAAATGATAAAAAGACAAGTTTATTACTGGATTACGAATTGATTGAACTTGACAACCTGAATAAAATAGTGGCCAATCTTAGTTTGGAATTACTTCACTTTACACAGCAACACATTTTCCGTTACTTTCTACCATTACTATAGATATTTATGAATTGATTTTAAAAACATCGCTTTATTTCCAAAACAGGTAAATATCAATATTTGACTTGGTTGATGAGTATCTTGTTAATTACCATGAATGATAAATTTATAAGACAAGAATAAATAAACACATAATTTAACTGATAATAATTTCTGTTAAATTCACTTTAAGCAAAGAAACATTCACTGGTAACATCTATAACAATGTGTTATGTCAAAGGGAAACGCTAATATTTAGATAATAACAGTAATAGAAAAATGAAAACCATCGGGAAACTTTAATGAATGACAATTAATGTAAATATTTTGTGAATTCAGTAAAGTATTGACTATCTAATCAGGATTGTACTAAAAGATTGCAAACAGAAATAACCCTTTTGATTAAGATCATGAATAGATCAATGATGATCTAACATTGATCGATCATTGATCTCAATTTTTAAAAAAACAACTTAACAATCTTCAGAACCCCATACTGATAATTGAATGATTCTATTAGTTTGTATCAAGTTCATATATGATCTCATTTCTTTATTTAAACATACTAATTTGTATATAACATTATTCAAAACATTTCAGCATTACTTACTTGTCCAATTGACCATAAACACCCATTGTACCATCTATATTAGCAGCTTTTGCTCCACTCGCCCAATGTAATGTATTCATTTTATAAAAATGGATATTGTAATTTTTATATAAGTAGTATATACATAAATATAAATAGTTTTTTTATGATAAGATATAGTTAATTTAATAACATATTTATAAAAATCATTCAAGTTACTTGTGTGATTTCTTTTTTAAATGATAATTAATTATTGTTGTTAGGTAATTCCATTGTAATTGTTCCATTTATCATAGTTTTTAAACTAAATCTATTCACAACTACAATATTGAACGTTATTATTGTTATGTTCACGTAATGCAATACATGTTTAGTCGTCAAGCTGAATAAATAAATAATTTCTTTCTAAATAACAAAAAATATTAAATAAAGAGTTCCCAGAAGTAAAATGTTTGTAGAAGATTAGATATTTTAGAAAATAAAAAAAATTTTTTCTCTTGGCTTCACTGAATACTTCCTTTATTGTTCATAATAATGAGTAGTACCATGTCAATAAGAAAAAATATATATCTATATGCACACTTACAAAATAGAAATGTTGCTAACGTTAATTCAACTGTCCTTGTGTAGGCTAGACATATATGATCCAATGAATATACACACATACACACATACATACGCACATGTTTATAGATAATATTCACGTGTATGTACGTAGGGATGTTTGTATGTGTGTATTAGGGAATTATTGTATTCTCTTATCATTTTAATTTAACCAATGAGAATGTAGATAATAACTTTCGCTAGAACAGTAGGGCAGATTATGTAATATATACATATGTTTGACAAATGAGAAAATGAATATTAATATGAGACTCCTTATTTTATCCATGTGGTGGTCTGATTATAACATCTTTAAATAAACGAGCAAACATTTGAACTGATAAATACATATATATATATATACAGGTACAGTATTTCATTCACAAGAGAAAGCCGTGCATAGAGAACAGCTGACAGTTGCATTCCAAGTGTAGACCGGTATTAGACAAAGCTGCTTATTATCATTTTTTTTCTTTATCTTTTAGTGGTTGATTAAATTATGAAGACATTTATATATTACTGGAAGTACAGAATACAATGGAAAGCTTGGATAAAGCTAAACTCTTTCAAGTTTACTTTTCCATCCTATATACACGAACAAATGTAGGTCAAGAAAAAAACAGTGTAGCAACAGTCTGTGAAGCAGTAGGCCTCAACATACATAAGAAAAAAACCAAGACCATCAAATGTAAAGAAGAAAACGTCAACACAATCACACTTGATGGAGAAAATCTGGGACAAGTAGAAACTCTCAAGTATCTGGGTAGCATCATCGATGAACAAGGAGGATCCGATGCAGAAGTAAAGTCGAGGATTAGTAAAGTAAGGGCAGCATTCCTACAATTGAAGAACATATGAAACTCAAAACGACTGTCAATCAATATCAAAGTCAGAATTTTCAATATGAACTACAAGACAGTTCTGCTGTACGAAATGAAACGTGGAGAACTACCATAACCATAATCGAAGAAGTACAAGTATTTAAAAACGATTATCTACACAAAATACTCTATATCTGTTGATCGAACATCATCAGCAACAGCTTACTACGTGTGAGAACAAACCAACTTCCAGCTGAGTAGGAATAAGTAAAAGACGCTGGGAGTGGATAGTACACACATTGAGGAAATCATCAAACTGTATTACGAAGCTAGCGCTAACTTGGAATCTTGAAAAGAAACGAAAAAGAGGAAGATCAAAGAACACACTGCATAGAGAATTAAAGGCAAACATGAAAAGGATGAATAACTACTGGAAAAAACCGGAAAGGATAATCCTGATAGATAATAATTCTCTTAACATCCATGTTATCACCACGAAACCTAGGTCAATTAGGGTTCTCTATCGACTTCATATAGTCGACCAACATAACAAGCTGGTCGATATGATTTGATCTACACTAAGAAGGACCTGACATACACGATCGCCACCCAGTGATCATTCAGTTGTCAATAAATGTATCCACAAATTAATAAAAATAATTCAATCCAGTTCGGTGTTGAATACAACGGTATGATTAACAAAGTATTGTGAATTAAGGGATAAAATCTCCAAAAATTACCGACGAAGGAGTTTTGTGAGAAGCAACAAATAATTTTAATATATTTTCCAAGAACATGGGAAGATAAAACATTTCAGTCTGGTTTCAGTGCTAGTATAAGGTTTTGAAACACACTGAAAACAATGTTGTTTTAGTCAGGATGTTCACGAAGATGATTTCAAAGTCAAATGATCTAGGCCGAACTGTCAAGCAAAACTGAAAATTCTGAAATCATATAAACAGATTAGCATAATACAAACTTGTAACTACCTTTAACAAACAATATTGATAACAGTATTTTTAAAATTGTGGATCTAAAATTGTATATTTCGCATTTCTTATGTAATCTAACTGAAGTTATGGAATGAAAGATGAGATTGCGTCTTTACTCAGCATGATTTTCATTTATTAGAACATTCTTTGTATTTCCGTGTAACAATTATTCAATGGTTGTGCACTGTAAATTAATTTCAGCGTTATGTGTAGCAGATGTTCAGTAATAATTCTATGTAAAATTCATCTTTGTATTTTTAATAATTGAATTCATCAGTCGATCTAAGCTAGATCACGTTTGAAAACCTGGAATCACTGTATAGTCGTCTCGTCGTAGTATGGCACTGCTTAGTAATGAGCGTCTACGACCCCACATGTGGAACCCGGACCCATGACCTTCGGTCTTACGAGCGAGCACCTAACCTTTAGTCCACTGAGCTGGACAGCATCCAACGGTGTTAATGTCCAAATTCAATCGATCCATGTATTTACACTTATTTAGGTTATTTGTGTTGTTTGTTAAACAATCATTAAATTTCAGTAAAGTCGATATAAAAAATGAGTCTATTTGATCTAATTTGTTATTGTATTTTTTGGAGAATGAATAAAATCTCTATCTTTTATCGGTTTTTGTCTTCTTTCCTGTAACGTACACATCTTAGAATTTTCCTGTCATTTCTTGATAGAACGATTATATGTACCGGGGTTTTGATTGGTATACAATGCTTGTAAATTTAGGACGTAATGAGTTATTATAGTATGAACTGTTCTATTGTGATCTGAATACTGACAGCTAATGCACAGCAGTTCAGTATGGAAGGAAGGCGAAATATGGTGAAAACTTGATTTTCAAGCACAACAATTTAAAAAAGTACAACTCAGTATGAATAGTAATAAAAACATGATGTTCAAGCATACAGAAAATTGGTGAATTAAAAGTGTTAGCAACCGATCAAAAATGCATAACGACAATGCGAAAATCTGAATATTGGGAGAAAAGTAAAAACGATTACCGTTACTAGTACGATTTAAGCATTATTGACAAAAATTGAGTATTATTGTAATCTTCCAGCATCTGCTGGGATCACCGAGTAAGTAATGGTAAGGTAAGACACACGGTATTAGGGAATAATGAAAAATCAGTTGATGAGGTTGTGAATCTTCATCTACTGAGATGGTTTGTTCACGTATTACGCATGCCGAATCACCGAATACCACGGCGCACAATGCTGACTAGTATTAGAGACGGGTGATGGGAAGTTAAGGAGGCCAAACCAAAACGTGGTGTCGATCCGTAAGGTCATTAACTTCTGGTTTGAGCCATATTAGTAAATGCAGATTACTTGGTTGGGGTCCACGCGACTACCTTAACCACTTGTGAGAGATTCTGGGTGACATAACTCGAAATCAGTCATAATGGCTTAGGTGTATACACTCTTTGTCTGCCCTTAAACCGTGAGAATAAAATTGCTTTATACCTTTCTTTCTACGAACTAATTGTTTTCCCTTGTATCATATCCTTATATGAAATCTTTCTTTTATGTATTACTACCACTGAAGTAACTACTTCTATGAATTTGGTGTTCATGTTGTTGTGTTAATGCGATATAGCAACGTGGACCGATTCATATATGTGCCTGATCCTACGTTGTAACTGACTGACTGACTGACTGAGCAATTTTCAAAGGTAGCGCACTCTAGTTATTGAAAATTTGTAAATTATTTACATAATTATCATTATGTATAAGTAAAGAAAAAAATAAACTGAGTAACCGACTTAAGCAGGTGTATATATCAGTAAAGAGTACTAATGTTATAAACTGTTGTAAGTACTTCTATCATAGTTATTTAACTCCAGTTATAACACTATAAAACTACATTAACTTCGTACTAGATATAAACCTTATAGAATAAATATTTTCTAAACTCTTTGAAGGTTTAGTTAATTTACTATTTACTATTATTTACTGTTATTATTAGCTTTATTCAATATTATATTTTCGGTACAATATAGAATTCTCAGCGCAAAGTATTTCAACAAGTTTCCGTTTCTTTCTTCTTGGTCGGTCCTGGCGATAAATATTGAGTGATCTCCAGTTAGATGTTAACAGTCCAGTAAATGAACATCTGAATGATATACATTCTTTTCGTTGTATATTGCTAGCAACCGCATCGTCTCTTATTGAGCTTTTTGTAACTGTGACAACGAAAGGTTGTACACTTTTCAGCAATGCACCAGGATAGGTTATGCTATTAATAGACATAATGATATATTAAAACAAACAAAAACAGATAACTTGTTGAAATATCTAGATGGCAGGAACAGGTAGTCCAGATGCTGAAGCATTATAATTCAAACTTAAGATACAATAGGGATAATGTGAAATTTTAATCAATATAATATTAGTGTTAAATAGTATGATTTGAATAGTAAATAAGAAGTGAGAAATTTATAAAATAACGTTGAATTTCAATGTCTACATCATAGATTGACCTTTATTAGATAACCAATGAAAACCAAAAAAACCTTAGACAATTGCTTCGACCTGGAGTTATACTAATCAGTAACTGGTTACAACCACTCATTAACTGATAGAACATAGAATATTTCAAATCTTACAGTTAGAGCTTAACTTTTAGACCACTGAGTTGGCATCCAATGACTGTTTACATTTTTAGTTGCAATCAGTTCTCAATCATACTAAGCAATAAATTATTTGATAAGTTTTTATATTTTATCGGCAAGTTGGAAAATTACTTAAGCAGTAGTGTACAGGTTTCTCTGTTTTCCATGTAAATTACTTGACACAAACTACCTGTATTTATGTCATTGAAGGAAATGTATCTCATAAACAATGTAATGACGGTGCGAATAGGAAAATTTTTTTGCAAAAATGAATGCAACCATAGAAACATCTGGTAATTTACATTATGCAAAATACGTGTAAAGAGATTCCAACGTCTATCCATATTTTACTCATAAGGATTTACACATTTCCCATGGCAATGTCAAAGAGTATAAGTAATCTATCACATATAGACATCCTGAGCTGATTCCTTCGATGCTAGCATTTAGCCAAAAGTATTTATTTAGTTAGATAGTAACTAACATTGAAATTAAGTACTTACAACTGAATAAGCCAAAATGATTAAAACCCATCTTTACTAGCGAACC